GACAAGAAATACAATTCTATGATAAAACTGCAGCCACTTCTACTCCTTTGAAAATTCAAAATTCTTCTCTTCCTCTTCAAAGAACTTTTTGGTTTAATAGTCAAAAAGAAAAAAAAAAGACTATTCATTGTTTAACATCAACTCTAACTGTCTTATCAATTATTTATTCTCTCATAGTTTCAAGATAAAAAATTAATCAAGAAGTAACCTTGTCAACCAGGCAAAGTTAACAAACACCTTGTCAACTAAGAATTACCAAATGATATACTCCAACAGCCTTGCATCAAACCTCATACATCTTGTCAACAGAAGAGTTCTCATTTTAAGTCTTTCAATATTGCTAGTGATATCATACAGCTCTGTCTTGGGATAACAGCATCATTCCAAACAATATTGATTGATAGCAACTAGCAGACGTATAATTACCTCATTTACTTAAGCACCATACAGCTTTGCCAACACTTGCAACCACTAGAATTTGTCTATACCTACCATTTAACACAAGAAACCTCCGCTCATGTCGTATCAATTCGGCCAACATAATATCCTTACCCTATTCGAGCCCTGCATTATTTGCCTCAATCCTGTCAATCAACCTTATCTCTTCAATCCATAGATAATAAGTCAGTTGTCCATCCCCTATTTTCATCCTTCTATGTTCTAGAAACAGCTATCTCAATGGCAATATTTTCCTCCAGGAACCTGGACAGTGATGGAAGACTAGAAGCATCCCATATGCAGGCATCATTTTGCGTGGACCCATTTATCCTTATGTTCTCACTACTAATTGCTACACAAGTTATTGGATCCGGCAAAGGAGTGGGTCATTTAAGATTGAACTCAGGTCAAGGTCTAGACAGATTACTAGTATAACACGTCATAGGTTAAGAGGTGTTACACGTTACCCATTTTATATGAGCGGTGGTGCGTTAGGTCAACTTTTGCCAAATCTAACATCAGGTCCACCTTGACTTCTAAAAACGCATACTTGATCCCAAGAAACTAAGGTGACACTTGGCATATGTTAATGAAGTTGATATTGGAATCCAGTCATGATGGAATGGAATGCTTAATTTCAATTCTCATGTTTGGTATAGTGATGCAAATTTGGAAGGCATATCCGTAGTGTACTGCATAGGATTACCCAATTTTCAACCAAAACTTAGAGAACCAGTCATATCAAGCTGGGTACAAACATCAAGCTACCGACTCAAAGTCTCAGGACTAATGAGTCTAGGCAAAAACTTAATTTTAGTCTTTTATCGGTTGAAAGTTTTAATTTTTTATTTTATATTATAATATTTTTAGTTTTTTACCTTACTAGATTTATAAGTTTTAACTTCTTATTTTATACTATAACACTTTTAGCCCATCACCTATTAAAATTGAAAAAAATAACTCTCATTTTATAACATTTTATTAGTTATGTTAACTGATTATTAACTTTATTAACTGACTGTTAACTATCAGAAACTTTTTTTCAGCTAACAAAATTAACAGAATTAATTTTATAATATTTTAATAAAGTTAACAGAATTAATTTTATAATATTTTAATAATTCTGTTAATTGACTATTAATTAACTATTAGTTGATAAAAATCTCTTTTCAGCTAATAAAGTTAACCGTCAATATAAAGTAAGAACTATTTTCTTTGATTTTCATAGACGATGGGCTAAAATCTACAAATCTAATAAAATGAAGAGCTAAATCCTTCAAACTTGACAAAGAGAGAGACTAAAAATAGGCTTTTGCCAATGAGCTATGGGATAAAAAATCACATGCAATTTAGTATTCATAAGGTAAAAATTTAATAATATGACAGCAATATGCATTGGTCCATCTCAGAAATAACCATTCCTTTGACCTATTCTGCAAATTAACAGATAAGATATGCCCAATGCTACACGGACTAGACATTACCACCACAACCACACATAGTACAATTTAACGAAGACTCTTTTCGAGACAACATACATAAACATCATAGGAAGTGTCCATCTAATAAAGGAGGAAGACAAATGTTTCCCTACCACTAGTCCAGCTTTGATATTTTCATCCATAAAGCTTTGAAAACCACTGGAAATCACAATCATAGAGATAGAGCAGACCCACCAATACCAGAAATAAACAGGGTCTTGTTATTTTCAATTATATTAGCTACTAGCTAGTAAGAACAGACAAATGAACAAGAATCTAAGATAATAGCAGAAGCAAGCAACAAAAGGCAGCAAGACATGACGTTTTCTTTTCTGTTCTGTACATTAAACAACGGTTCAAATTGAGCCTCCTAATCACCTTATCTTGTCTAACCCAATTTTCTCTAATTATGCTCCTTTCATTCCAACCTTGTGCATCCTCCTCAAGCAACACCCATGATGCTATTCCTATCTCCATTGTTGAAACTTGGCATCACCTGAAACGCCGAATGCCTTGACGGAGAATCCCTCTGATCGGATGTCAAGGAGAGCTTGAGTGACAATGATGATGGATCCATATTTGCTTTGGAATTCAAGTTAATCTCGGAAACAGTTGGGGCCTGCTGAGTTGGGAAAACAGGAACTGGGCGGATGGGCCTTTTTGCTCCGTTATTTAATTGATTGCCTTGGCATAAAGATAGGTTTTCCATTGGATTCTCAATAGAGACCGGGAAAACAACAGGATTCACAGTCATAGGAAAAGCTGGAATAATGGAAAATCCACTAATGTTGTTGGTTTCTGGTGCCGGATGTAGCAACGTATGTGACTGAGTTGTGTTTTCTTGGGGATTAGCCTCTTCTTCCATTGGAATTGCCGTTCCCTGCTAGGCATAAAACAGGGTCAATCAGACAATTTCTTTTAACTCATTGTTGGATGTTAACATATTAAACATTTTAATGGTTGGAGAAATTATTAAATTATTCAGTCAATTTAATAGCTTCAGATATAAGTAATTCATAGAATTAGAAAATACCATCAAAGCTTCATTGACTTTGATCTTTCTATTCTACTCCAGTAAAATTTCTTAATTTAAACAAGAACAGACTATCAACCTAACATCATCCGATTATTTTGCCCAATCCGAATCAAATACTTAAGATGCAAGGCATCGCCAGTTTGTTATTGAATCCTCAACCAAATAAAAGAAAACAAAGAGAGAGCGTTAAAAGGAAATAATTACTGTATCCGTGGTGATATCAAAGAGGCTAGATCTGCGCCGTCGGCGGTTAAGATTGCTTCGCCGGAGGAAGTATTTCTGAGCGTGGCTAGCCACTTGAGTTGGCGTTCGAGTCTTGACGAAGTTTCTAGAGATTCCTCTCCAGTCTCCTTTCCCTACTTTGCTCAAACCTATCAAGAACAGCTTGTGCTCTTCCTCCGTCCATGGCACTCCTGAGATCGATCACAGAAAATAACAAAAAATCAAAACCATTAACATCTTTATATGAAAAACACATCTAGAATAGAATAATTCAAAGCACTCAAAATCCCCCGGCAATCGATCGATAACTCACTGATTAATTCATAATCAAAGGAATAAAGAAAAAGAATAACATTAAAAAAAAAAAAAAACAGAGCAGATATTCAGAGATCTGAGTCAAACCTCGCTTGCGCTCGCGAGTTCCGGTGGAGTGAGGAACAGCATCATCGGCGGACGCATAGCCACCGGCAACAGCGTCTTCCTTGGTACTATTATATTTGTTATTGTTATTGCCGGATTCCTGAGGTTGCTCGTACTGAGACAAATTGTTCAAACTAACACTCTTCCTCATCGAATCCACCACCACTCTCACACCGAACAGCATGATCTCACCAGCACCGCGCTGCTCCACACCGCCACTCGTGGCGGAGCTCTCGGTGACGGAAGCCGAAGCGCACGTGGCAGGAACCATCCTTTCCCTTCCTTTCCTTCACTCCTTTTTCCTCAGGAGACGTGCGGAAGGAATCTGTTTCCGCAGCCGTACAAATTGTGGGGTAGTGAAAGAAATAAGAATGGGAAAACGATAAGAGTGGATGGTGGGCACTGTCGTGCGTGCAATATATATAGAGGAGGACAGGGCTGAGGTGGCACCACGTTGTGGTACTGGGAAGGCGCAAAAGGAGGGGTGCGTGGCAGTCTGTGATTCGCTCATCGGGTTTGTGTGCCTTTTTTGTGCTGTTTTCATATCAAATCTTAAAATATCTGAAATAATGGGTATTTTTTCTATGCGATAACGGATGGGACTAATGGATTTTAAAGGATGAAAGATGCTTTGCAGTTCTAGCCAGACGATAATCTTAAAAATCACTAATTTTAATTCATTTTTGTTTTTTTTTTTTTTATCAAGTAAATGGTTAGGAAGTTGATAGAGTTAGTTTGTTAGCAACTGAAATTTTTTCAGGAAAGTGAATGTTCCACCCCTCATTTGAGGCGCGCGACCATTAGGTCGCAAGTTGATGGAGTTCACGGCGGTTGCAGAGCTCAAAACCTTGACCTCCGCCTCACTCAAGTCCTAAAGATTGGGGGCCAACCAATTGGACCACAGGCCCGGTTGGCTTAATTCATTTTTGTTACTCCAATAATTGGATAAGAATAGTATTTTTTTTTAAAGAAGATCACTGCTCAACATTTAACCAACGTTTTAAAAACCGGACCGGACCGGCCGGTTGAACCGGTCGGACCGGTATCCGGTATTAAAAACGGTTCGGTTCAATATTTAGAACCGGTAGAGCGGTTGAACCGGTCAAAACCGTTCGAACCGGTACAAACCGGAAAACCGTTCAACCGGACGGTTTAAATCCTTTGGAGGATTTACCTTAAATTTGCTACCCCGGAGGCTTGAACACATGACTTCAAGAAGATTTCCTGTGACTTTTGCCACTAGGACGTTACCTCTTTGATTGAAATGATTTGCTAACAATTTTATTTATGTTATTTTTGAAAGAAAAGAATTGACGATG